AGTACTCCCTCGCAGGCGGATTGATAACAAAAGCCACCTGCTAGAGTAGGGTTAGGGAGTTGTCGGCTAGGTGGCCTTGGCTGAATCATGCTTGTCAACTGCCAAAAAACGATTTACGGTAAAAGTTTAACTTATTAAAGTTACCATAAATCGTAAAAAAAGTACCGTATGAAACTCGATGTAATGGGTATTAATACACTCGTGTGAAGTGCACGATACTCGCTCGTATTGTAATATCACACTCGAGTATTAATACTCATCATCGTTGCACAATGTACTATTCTTACACAAAAGTGTAAAGTTGCTATTTGTGACAGTGATTTGACCTTTGAAAAAGGAATTAATTTTGGATACCTATTATACGAGAATACGAAGAATTCATAACATGACCAAACCGGATATAACATGCTGCAATGTATTGTTTAACTTCATTACTACACATCACCAGCGTACCACCTTAACTACTATAAAACATGTACCATATTTCGTTGTCATATCAACATCTCGCAACTTAATATAATTTAAAATTTATATTTTCGATAATTTAGTTACACATGTATTATCAGTATTAAAATAATATTTTTTAAAAACTAGTTGTAGCACTAATAATCTACCGAAAATCCTAAATAATACAAAAATACTTTCTTAATACTATTTAAAGACAAGTCGGGTCTTCCCTTCACCTGATCAAACAAACTTCAACTACCTTATTTGTTCACTAACTTACAATTTTAAAGGATTATGATTAAAAATCTGTGCAATTCTGACTGATATCAAACAATAGCAGTAGTTTGCGCGTGGGCTCTGATCGGTACTAGGGTTTCTCATAGATTGCGGCTGGCACCGTTGCATACTAATAATACAAACAAGTATATTTGTTGCGCCTTTTTCACAACGGCTCTTAGCCATATTTGTGGACACTGTGTGTGTGTGTGTGTATAAAGTATGGAATAATCCTCCTTTAAATATCGTCTTTTGTCTTGTAACGTTGCAGTCATTGTCTTTTATCTCTCTGACCAACAGCACGGCACAATTAGTAACCAGGGTTCCCAGTCTGTAACTCATCCAGGAATCCGCGGTATCTCGATTTGCTGAACTCCCGATTCTTCGCGTAGTGTAGTTAAGCAATTCGTCTGACAATGCCGGTAGTAGTGTATACCTTACTGAAGATGAAGATATAGTATTACGTTATCCTGGCAAGAAAAGCATCTTGAATGTAATTACAACTGTCTTTACAGTGACAACAACCTGGGGTAGACTTCACATTGACAAGCTCAAGTCCGTCTTGCAAATTGCTACACTTTTATTCTGGATACCCGTTGTCAACCATTCCCACTGAAGGCGCACAAGTCACAACTTGCCCTTGCGACACGTGCGATCACTTTCGTAGAGTGGATGAAGGCTACATTCGTGAAGCTACAAAATGCATACACTAATACTTTTTATATATCCTGATGTAGAGAATCGAATTGGTGCGAAAAGATTGCTCATGCAAGGTTAGTCTACGGCTTGATACGTCACTAGGAAAGCTTTCGCGGACATTATAATTGAAGGTTATGTTGTAATGGATAGGGGATTATATGGATGGATAGATATTATAGATAGTGAAAAACATGAATGTTTCAATAAAATGTGCCGTGCAAAAGCTTTTTATTTAATTTGCTATCAAAGAACTCAGTATCTTCAAGTTCATAAGGTTATTACATTGAAAATAAATCAGCAACTTATAGGTACCAGTTTGATACTTCATTACTTTGATAATTCCTTGAATATAAAATACCTTTATATCCAATGCATTAAACCTAGCTTCACATCGACCTGAAACTCTTCAGCAATTCGCTTTCGTAGGGGAAATTACGTGACTAAACTCCTTATTCTATGGTTTAGATACATATAACTAATTTCTACAAATAAGGCTTTTGGTTAGTTCTTTTAAAAAGCTCAAAGGGATTGTGTCAAATTATTACTAAAGTGATGCAAGCAATATGTTATCAGTTTAATAACTTTTTTTTACTTCAAAAGTACTTTATACATATTTCTAATTCCATCCAACGAATTCAGGTTTATGTGGAATATTTTAAACATTTCCTCCAGTTTTTGCAACGATTCTACTGTGCACACTACTTCGTACGTATGCCTTCATTGCGCAAGTTTAAATGGGAAACTGACTAAAATCGTGTTCTTTGAAATATTGACAACGTCGGATTTAAATTACTTCACATGCCATAAATATTTAGGGTGAATCTCCTTTAATGCATCTGGCAAGGTTTTCAGAAAACGTTATAAATATATTCCCAGCTAGGGGAGTTTAAAACAAAGTGAAAATACAACGTTCTACTTAAATGTTATACCTTCAAATACTCCCCTACACAGAAAAAACTATGAAGTTTAAAACTAAATTGGGGCTCAATCCGTTTTTAATAGTTACAAAATTATTTTCCTTTTTATTACTGGTATTAATTTTTAAATAAAAATATAAAAAAGTATTATATATCATTTGGTATAGTAAATTTTTAATGAACACTTGAGAAAGATAAATATTACGAATGAAATATTTAAATTTAATAATTGTTGCGTTTTGACTTGTGGCAAGATATTTTTTGTACAAATTAACAAATATTTATTTCTCTGTTAATACGTTTTTCTCCAGGGCTTCTACATTACTTCGGAGAAGTTCTACAGAACGATGATTATCTCAGAAGTAAGTATCAGAGTCTTTGCTTTTTTCTGGAATCGCTTCTCGCTTCTTGACGGTCGAAGTCCGAAAAAACTTCCTGCTATTACCAATTCGAGCATTCATATCCCCTAACACAAGTAAATTAGTACTCGGGTACCTCAGCTTTAACGTATCTAGAAAATCATTGAAATTTCGCCGAAGGATTCTGGAGTGTAATAACGCGAACCTGTAGGTGACGGTATATAAACACAATGGCAATATCTACATTAATGATTACAGTCTAAACACAAAGGAAAATTGTCTGAGTTAGTTTTATTTCATTAATAAACTGAATTAAGCTAGGTCGAAAAAAAACGCACCGCTACACAACCCGGGTTACCGGACCCCCTTCTCCTCTACGTTTTTTATTTTTGCATATGGCTGTAAAACCAATTGCGTATGGAGAAGACCATTTGCGGGTGAATACCAGAATTCGAAGATATAGAACGCGAAAGGAATGTAGTATTGTAATGAGCTTAAAGCCTTCGGCCTAGTCACATAGGATCAAGTAATCAAATTTGTTTGTAATAATTACCTATTAAATAAAAAAATAAGTATCTTGGCTAAATTTCCCAGATAAGGAAAATGAGGACAAGGTCAATTGTTTCGCACCAAGAAAATAAAGTATGCTTAATCAAATAGTGTATTTCAACATTAAGTACATAAATTTCGTTCAAACGTTCTGGTGAAAATTCATTACAAAGAAAGGAGCCGAGGTTCTCGTTCGTGAAGGATTCATGCAACTTGCATTCCGGTTCTTTAACGCAGGGAGCAGTAATCCGACTAATGTAGGACCTGTAAATCAAAAATTAATTAGAACATTAAGTAAATTAGAGTTAAGAGGTCAATGAACGATACCTAATTGGAAGACAAAAGTACGAAAGCCCAAATAATTTTCCAACTGTAGACGATTAAATTCAGTTTCTCAAACTCCTAATTGTTAATGAATGCATTGGGCGTTATCGTTTGTGAATCAACGTTTCACTTTCATAAGAGGCAGAAGGCGCAATTTTGGTTAAATTCTGTAATTTTTATTTTTTGTTGCAGTATTTATGTACTGAAATGAGAGCAACCCACATTAGCAAACTTACACGCTTTTCATATTCTCCTATTTACTACATATACTCAAGGAAAAAGGTCTTCCACTTTCACCTCCCGTTCTCTCATTTATTTAGAAACTATACATGGTTTGAAAAAGCCATCAAGATATTTATTTAATTTTTCTAGAAGAAAATGTATGATTAATAATGATTGTGACAGATTCTTATTTCTTTCACACAGCTTTTGAAACTAAGAGTAATCCCAGTCTAGTAACCCATTTCGGCTTTTTTTAAGCGATCTGAAAAACTTTTTAGCCACTCACTTCCCCACAATGAATTTCTGTCCGTTCATTTTTCCAATTTACAGATCAAGAGTTCTTTAGCGTTTTTATTGGGTCTAAATATAATCTGCTTGCTTTTGTTTTGTGAAGCAGCTTAACTGCAAGACGTCTTGGAACATTGAGCATACTCAAATCTCCACCTAAATCATACCATATGAAAATATAAGTCACCTTTCCTCTCATCCATTTTTGAAATGTAGGTAGATGGTTTTTCAGTCTTCTTCGTCCAAGAAATTTTCTTCATCAGAGAAGTTCGGATTTCCGCATACGAAGTTTTGCAGAAGTCAGAGAAAATAGCGTACTCCCAATGGGATGTTTTTTGTAGCTCTCGAATGAAAACTCTGTAATAAATATTAACGTCAATACTCAATTCACCGTTAAATATATAAGAATTTTTTGTCATGCGTAATACTTACGTGGTTTTGCGGCGTTTCTTGAAGACTTCTGGCTACAGAAATTCGAAATTCCGGAAGTGAGAATACATTACAACAATCCCTGCCTTCTGTGTCATGTCTACTTACACCTATGTACTTTCCTTCGCGCAAATCCCTCGACGCGAGTACGCAGTGCCTCGAAGTAACTCCAGGAATTCCCCCGGTGGAAGGTCGTTCTGAAATGCTTTGCCGAACGGTAAAGTACCTTGCTGGTACTTCGTGTTTCTTTAAACAAAGCATTCCAGAACGCCTCCATTACCCATGAAGGGCACAAGCAACGAAGGGCCCTGAGCTAGCCGAACCACAGGGGCGTTTCCTAGACAAGGGGGTCCCTAGTTGCCCCCGCGGTCCAGCGACGAGCTACCACTAGCAAAAATTCTCACGCCTACCTACAGGCTCCACTAATATTAATTTTGCCTACGAGCCTGCGTAGTTTTCACGAATTGCGCAACTAAGAGAAGTTGAATGTGAAGGCATGGTTCTGTAAATAAATTTGCATTAGACTACTATGACACAGTAGGCCCCGGTACATCTAACTGAGCAGGGCCAGAAGCTGTACTTTCCACCCAAATACCCCATTAAATTATCTTCAAAGGAGGAGCTGATACGCTGATACTCACTATACTACATTTCGTACTAGTCTTTATTGAGTAATGAAATTAATAATAATACTGCAAATCAAGAAAATTAAAATACAGCACATAAAAATTACGCATTAATATCTCAACAGATGAAATCATTTATATTGAGAGATTATAACTTCTGCACTGCTGCTTTAAAATTACACTTTGCAGTTCACAAAGATACTTCCAGGATCAGCGCACCAGCCCCCCGTTGACACGTACGCGCTGCCTGTGTACAGCCCAAAAGGGAGGAGAACGTGGGACTCAGCGTACCCTGGGCACTGTCCGCAAGGGCACGTGCTTCGGCTGCGAGAGACCACACAGATGGCGAGAGCCCTGCTCAGTAACTCCCAAGCACTGACCGTTCCGCACACCACCGCTTCGAAGACCGCTGGCCGCTGGCACAGGTCCCCAGCGGCGACGTCCAAACTATCTCGGAAAAGATGACCAGCCCGACTCCAGAGCAGCACGGCGGTCACGAATAAACCAAACTTCGGCGCTCCGAACGCGACAGCTTCTCATTGCCCTCGACGTTGCCGAAGTCTCCCCTTCGCGTCTGGCTATTGGTTCTCCCCCCCCCACACACACACCATTTGCAAAACAAAGGGGGAGTTTACATTCATTCTTTTGTACGTACTATTACCAAACGACAATGTTACTATTTACGTTTGCTTTATGAAGTACTTCTCTATTTTAAATTAACCGAAGCGCGCTGTTGTAACAGCACGTTCTGTTAGCGAACACTTTGTACCAGCTGGAAACGTGATTATGACGTGTATTCCTCCGCCTGAATCTCCATCACCTCTGCCACTTGTTCAAACCGATTTTTGGACAAATAGTTGCAAAACAGGTTGAATTGAACGCGCGTGCTTTGTGTTGTATTTTTTACTACACACGTCTCACATACAGTCTAATGTTTGTAGCAATAAAAACGAAATTGCAATAAAAACACAATTATATACTACGACAAACAATCTAAAATTAAAAATAAGAATCAAATTTATAAGAACAATAAATAAATGAATATTTTAAAACATTAAAGAAATGTGTGTTGGAAAAGGTACAACGCGGGACTGCTCACTTAAGGCGCGCTTCCAGAAGAGTTAAAATATCTTTTCAGTATTTATAAGAAAGTAAGAGCATGTGTGACAGACATTTGCATATGGCAGTGAATGAATCTTGCGGGGAGTGGGGAACTACAAACTATACTACACTATTCCAATTCACACAGATAAATGTATTGCACAATATGAAAGAAACAATTGCATTTCACCTTGACGTTTTTCATCCTGCATATATTTATTGAATACAATTTCTCTTTTTCAAAGAAAAACTAACAAAATACGATAAAAACAGATAATTTAATGTTTAACCCGTATCTTCTTAGTTTACTCATGTTTATTCCTGACGTCAATAGTATTTTTTTTACAATATGAAGGATAATCTTTTCATTTGAACATATGAGAATTTTTAATGAATGGTTTTCTTCCAAAGCGTTGAATTATTTCTTTTCTTATGAGGAGAGTGACAAAATGGACGCACTTCGAATTCATTACATTTTATTTGTGACTCAGAAACCTTCGTGTTGTTCTCTGTAAACCATAAAACCATATTGCAACAAAAATAAAGCCAAGTTTATTAAAATTGAGAAATTAAAGACAAATTTCTAAACTAAATTTAACACAAAAAATATTTAAGTTTTTGTAAAAATTAGGTTTACAAAAAAGCCCAAACTCCAAAAATAAAAAGTATTTGCAAAACGTGTAGCAGCGGGTAGCTGCTTTAGTCAATCTTAAAACTTAAGAAGCATGATATATTTGCTTCACTAACTGTAATCGCATGGTTCAAGGATTTCCTTTTATTGTATTGTAATTCTGAGATAGTTGGTATTGAAAATGATGCAAACAAATGATGGCAGATATGAATTCAACTTATTAATGTTAATATATTCCATTTTGCATTTTAACCATAAATCAAGTTAATAACAGTTAGTAATAACACATTTAGGGCCCACTACCTTGTATTTGAAGAAAAAATTACGAAATCTGGTGGAGAACAAAGCTCGAATTACATTCTACACGAAAACCCTTAAGGTTTTGATATATTAATTATACTGATGGCCAGTAATTTGTTACAGAATTTTTTCACCAAGAGATACCTTTAATATATTTTTGAACTACATTGAACACTTTTATTGGATGTTGGCGGAGATCTTTTTTCGTGGCCCTTGACTTCGGGGGCGCTGCTGCGGTGCAAGCAGCCTAGCTGAGCAGTGAAACAATATTATAACCTCAGAAATCTTAAGAAATATATAAGGTAGAATATGAACAAATGTTCGGGTAAAAATGTCAAAAATGTTAACGCAGTAAATGACATTCTGTTTTTAGTATACATGACAGATTCACAATATAGAAACGTATTATTGCTACCTATGTTACTTTACAGTGATAGCGCAATCCTTTGACACTAATATTTACTTTTGCACGAGTAGTGTATAATTCTGGTTATTATAATGATAAGCATCATAGGTGGTGTAACTTATTTAAAGAACACGTCTTGATATCAAACTTCGTTGTTTAAAAGTTGGTTTGAAAATTCATTACACTTCCGAATACTGAGCAGTTCCACTTTTCAGCTTTGAAACACGCATACAACCGAACTGCGTCATAGTATGAAATAAAATACTATTATCTGTGTAAGTTACTATCTTGTGCTTTTTTCTTGTGCTACTAGCCAGTGTTCGGGAAAACAAGACACGCCTAAAAAATGGTCACTTTATAGAAGAACGTCATCAGTATGAGTAGAGTTGTTTATTTCTTCTTTCTCTGTCAAAGATATATAGATTTACTCTATGTACCGGTTGTCTTGTGAACTACATAAAATTGTTTTTAGGAAAAATATACTAGTTTCTTAATCTCTTTCTTAATTTATCTTAAAAATAATGATTTTTTAGATACATCATTTTTCTTGTGGCCCAACGGCGTTAAGTATCAGTCCCGCAAATATTTCTCTTCCAGTTACCCCCAAATGCCTCCTCTAGAAACGCAAACGTATCCTTTGGAAAAAGATCTGTATGCATGAGTCGTAGCACAATAGTGCCCGCTCGGTGGAAAGTTGGAACAAGAAGCCATATTTCGACGAGAAGCACGTGTTTCTGAGGAGCGACCGGAATATGGATTGCCAATTACTCTCTTCGCCGAAGTTCCTAAGGCAGCCAGCCGGAAATAGTGCTGGTACGGGCGTGCCGACAACTTTACGAACACCAACATGCAGCAAAGCAAGTCTTAGCGCAGGGCGCAGAAGTGTTACAAATCGAGTGGCGTTAATTCTAAGAAGTATTTACTTCTAGTTTTTCAAGAAGTACGTGGCAGGTTCCATGAGTGTCCGGCCTCACAAACTTTTATTTTTGATACAAAGAAAAATACCAAATAACTTTTCAATGTAATGACCCTTTACTCCAACGCTTTTTCACATCTGTAATATTATCATTTCTAAGCCTTTGAAAAAAGTTCCCTGAAGTTTTATTTGCAAAACAGTCAAAAATGCTTCTTTTACCTCTCGTCTGAAACACTTTTTCCTTGAAGCCATATGGATTCGCAATATTATTTGCAATCTGAGGAGTAAGAACAGGTGTGTTGTCGCGAAGAAGCTAAGCACTATGGGATTTCACGCACTGCACCCAACTCAAGCTTCTCTTTCCACAAAACTGAGTGTTTTGTCAGCTGCAATCATAATACTCTGTGGCCGCACACTTATAACATTACAATTAAAGATTAGACTATATACTGCTCAGAAGTCTTTTCCATAATTAACCGTTACCTTGCTTAGACCGGGAGTCTATGTAACAACTAAACGAATTTACAATCAAGTAATTTTTTAAACAATAGCACTTTCGTGGGCAGTATCGTTGAAAGCTCGGGGTCTAAAGTTTAGACTAAACGAGTTCGTTGGGCGTTTTATGAATGTGAATAATCTAAATCTTTACTAGTAAAATATATATATTCAACTAGATTTGAAATAAAAATTAATTTTGCCCGAAGCTTACTATGTGTACTTTTTCAACATTGCTTTAAAATTCTATTATTTCAATTCGATGTAAATTATTATTGTTATTTAAATAGTTTAAAAATAAAGCAATTAAATAAATCCTCGTTGTTTTCTGCATTTCCTCCTAGTGTATTGATGGATTTATTTTCTTTAAGATGACAAAGTATATAACGAAGTTCAGGGGTAATTTATTGTTAATTTTTAATGTTCGTTTCATAAAATATTTTATTACGTTCTAAGAGTATTTGTGACCTCAAGCAATGGAGAAGTAATAAAGGTGTTTATTTACAGATCTCAATGGCAAACATATTAGTAAATATTTAAATTATTTTTTAACTGAACAATTTGTAATTTCCCATAAAATATTTTTTGCGAGTAAATATTTTTAAAAATATTACAGTATTGTTTGAATTTCTGATAACATGATTCTCTTTTGATCAAAGACCCCTCAAGATAATCTTTATATTAAATTTCAACAAAACATTTTTATTCCTCGGTTTTATTGTCTGAGCATTCCATTACCCTGAAAAAGAGAGTGGTCATTCAAAACTATTTTCAATAAAAAGAACATATGGTATTATTATATCCTTATTTATTTTCTGCACATTCTTGGAGATTTTTTTTATAAAAAGCACCATAATAAAATATACTTTACACATTAATTAATTTTATAAAAACAGCTTGTTTGTCAACATAAAATCATGTAATCGTACTTTACCTTGTACAAAATGATAATAATGGATATCAATTATGTGACAATAATAAAATAATTATCATATATTCCGTCTTTATTAGGAATCTATGATGCATATAACCACTGGCCATTCTTGCCTTGCTTAATGAAAATATTATCGATTGAATATGTATGTCATGAACTCAGAGGATTCAGAATAACATTTCTTCGATGACATACTGAATGACGAAAGATAATCATTTGCTGAAATCACATTAATATTCACAATGCAAGTGGTATTTAATACCTCTTGCACACATACAAAAAAATATAACCTAAAACTTGTTTTTCTTCACTCAGAGTTCATTTAAAAACATAATATAAAAATAATGTTTGCGAGTTATTTAAAACGATCACAGCTTTTCTTGAAATGTGTATGTAAATTCTGAATATTAAATCTATATTGGAATCACAACCTTTAAGCACAATCTCATTCACTTTGTTATCTAAAAGTTGTGAGTATTTTTGTTCCCCCACATCATATCATTTCTCGTTTTTTAACATATTCGCACACTTCACCAACTGCTCACCTGTCGTCAACTTCACGAAAATATAACAAATTTCATAGTAAACAATTCACACTTAAATATTTATAATTTATTTAATGTCGGTTGACCTGCATAGACCTCACTCCAGGTCTCAGTCCTCTGATGGCACAAGCACTCCAACATATTCACTGCTGTATATTATATAATTGTTCAACAAATCTTACAGCGGAATCAATAGTTGAAAGAACGCAAGAACCACTTTATACTAGCAGACAATGTTCTCCCAGAACCTTAATTTCAGTCGGAAAATTCACGTTTTAAAAACGTAAAACGAATAGAATAATTAAAATACTTCATTGTTTGGGGTTAAAGATTAAGTGTTTTGAAAATATTCTCTAATTAACATCACTTGCTTCCCATCTTTGCTATGCCAGCATCAATAGCATCACTACCTTTTTGAAACAATGTCACTTTAAATTAATATCTTTGTTACTGTTTTTTAAGAAAAAACTACTAGAGAAACATGATTTTACCGTGTTTGAACGTATGTACCAGTAAGTATATTTACCTCATCCGAAAATAAGTCATTTAAAAAGTTTTTTAGGCAAGACTTAACTGAAATTATAAATTGTATTAACAGCCATGCGCTGGGAAATGAATATAAAGTTAAACCATAGCTCAAAAGTCTAGTTGTACCTCATGAAATCCAATGACATCGGATCTGATCCAGTGAGTGATAATGATTTCTGGAATCTGGATACAATGGTAATACACGCCATCCAATGAGCGTGAGGTGTTTAGCTAGTTTCCTCAGACTGATCTCTCTAAAGGTAATTAAATACTTAAATATTCAATTTAAATATACGTTGTTGTGACCCCTAAACTAAACCACTACCTAACAGCTTCAGCTCTTTTAGACGATGACTTTGCGGGCAGATTGAGGTTAACTTCTCCGTCTTGGGAGATCCCACAGACTTCCTGGGAGGTAATGCTATGATTCGAATGATAAACTGCAGCTTAATTAACGCATTGTGATCTGACAAAATTTTCAGAACATCACTCAAACTGTATCAGGCAAGTAGAACCCGTCGACTTTGGGATGGTCCCGCCCGATAAAAATGCGTATGTGATTGGCTCACGTAGAAAACAATCACGCAGCTTCAACACCCAAAATCATGTTTATTGGAGTAAACCACTCTACAGTTTCCACTGGAAAATAATGACGTTTTAGCGGTGTCAAGTTAATGGAGACTAGAGAATAGAATATTAAACTAGACGCAAATTATACAAGAAATGTAGATCATTCAAATGTCTGGGCAAAATATTCTACTACTACTACGCTAAGTATGAACGAAGTCACCACTTCTGTTACCATTGATCTGATGAGCTATGCAAGTTATCAAATTTCCTTCATAAATTTCATTTTAAATTTCTGTTTTCAAAACACATGACAAAATCGAACGTCAAGAGCAACACTAGAATGTCCCAATCATGCTGAAATGTCAAAGTACACATTTGTCTTGTCAACGTAAAATTCTCATCCATATTTTTTTCACTTCGATAGATATCATTTCGCTTGCAATATGCTTTTCAGCATTTGGACTTCTTTTTTAGACTTTATGGTCATCTCTCACATTTCTTTAAATCAGATACATTTTTTGCAATACAAAATATACGTGTTGCCCGCCTATACCCACATTTTTATTTATAAAAGTCGAGCGGCTTTCGATAACTTTGAATCCGCTATCTAAAAACCAGAATTCGTCTACAAACCGTCTTACTTTCGTAATCGCATTCTGATTTCTGGATGGCAGATCTGGACATGTCACTAAGGCACCGGAAAACGCTAAGGAATCAAATACGAGTATCAGTAATAGCAATACCGTGTATTTGTATTCGTATAGAGTGAAGATGAACTTCGGGAGATGATTTCTGAGTGAAAATAATAAGAAAAACTCCAAGTGATCATTTGACCTAATTGCCTTATCAACCGTGCAAAGACAACTCATTGACGGACCCTCAGTTTCCGCACAAAACTCACTAAGAAATTGATCTGCATGGCTTTGAAAGAAGAAGAGTTCACAATGTTTGTTCTTATGTATGGACACGCAGTGTGCCAGTACAAGGAAACTAAGGGACGAAGTTTGAGAGTATTACTAAATTATCAGAATGGTCCTTTGTATGTGCATTTTCTGAAATATTTTTTCTACCATTTAAACTCAAGAATCATCTCCCGAAATTTGTCTGAAGAGTATACAGCCATAGCTCATTCTGAAAATACCATCTACGTCTCACCAATATTACAACAATTTCCGAATTATTTCATTAATAGGTTTCACTGATTTGTCCATCTTCAACATTTATATGTGAGTCTATGTACGTGCATTTTTGGACACATATTTGAAGTTTCTACAGAGGAATCACATTCCACAATTTGCCAGTTTAGTGCATCCTCAATTGTATATACCAACTACGCCTTCCCAACAAATATGATATTCCAATCATTTCTTCAGTAGTTTCTCCGCAAGATTTTACTTATTCGTCCATCCTTCTTGCGCGTGTGGGCACGTGTGCGCGTGTGTGTGCTTGTACATCGGTTTTCCGCAAAGATTTACTCACTTTTTCTCCTTCAACGCGTATGTGTGTATGCATTTTTTGAACATACGTTCATAGTTGGTCTTTCATTTTTTCATAGGAATCACATTTCAAAGTTTATCAGAAGAGCACAATTTCACTTATAAATTCCAACTACGCTTCCCCCCACATACCGTATTTCATGAGTTTTCGTTCCGCAAGGTTTTACTCAATCGTCAATCCTCAATGCACACATGGTCAGGTGTCACACATGAGCACACATGAACATGTGTGCGTGTGTACGCGCGTGTATCTGTGTGTGTGCATCGATTTTCCGCAAAGATTGGACATACGTTCACAGTTTATCATTTCTACATAGGAATCACATTCCAAAGTTTGCCAGAAGAGTACATGCTCACTTGTAAATACCAACTACGTCTCCCCCACATGTGCGTCTGCGCGTGCGTGTGGGCGTGCGTGTGAGCCTCAGCGTGCGAAGCGCGCGGCGCCGGCGCCCGCGGCCTGCGGGACGTCGGTGCGGATGCCCGCGCCGCCCGTGGGGTCGTTGACCGCGGCCCAGAAGAGCAGCGCCTCCGACGGCTCGTGCACGATGGCCACCAGGAACGGCCGGTTCACCGCCACCAGCTGCTCGGCGCCGCTGTAGTCCACCAGGGTGGTGGTGACGGCCACCGCCTCCGTGCCCGTCTCCGTCACCTGGCGAGCAAACGACTCGGGTTTAGACTATGGTGACCTCTGAACTGGGACGCTCTGTCGGTCGGTGTCCAGTTAATCAGATTAACAGACATCTAAGTATTAATAATGCGATTTACCGGTCGGTGTCCTAATCAACTAGGATCGGATTAACAGGCATCCAAGTATCAGTAATGCGATTAACCGGAATCCAATTATTCTGGATCCAAACAGTCTGAATACGATTGATCCAAATTGAATTAATCGGACGTCCTTTTAATCGGATGCCTGCCGTTTAAATAAACGAGGAAACGACTCGGTTTTAGACTGGTGACCTCTGAGCTGTCACGCTCTCTCACTCGCTGTCCGATCAATCAGAACCTGCTAACTGGAATCGGATTAACAAGCGTCCAAGTATCAGTAATGCGATTAACCGGAATCCGATTAATCTGGATCCAAACAATCTGAATTAGTCTGTACGATGAATCTAAACTGAATTAATCGGACGCATTTTTAATCGGATGCCTGCCATTCCCTTTCTCGTCCCTTTTTTAAATAAACGAGGAAACGACTCGGGTTTAAACTACGGTGACTCTTTGGACTGAGGTGCTCTCTCGGTCGGTGTCCGATCAACCTCCTCAATTGGAATCAGATTAACAGGCATCCAAGAATCAGTAATGCGATTAACCGGAATCCAATTAATCTGGATCCGAACAATACGAATATGTCTGAATACGATGAATCCAAATTGAATTAATCGGACGCTCTTTTAATCGGATGCCTGCCGTTCCTCTACTCGTCCCTCTTTTTAAATAAACGAGGACACTTTAACCTGTTCTACACGTTCAGTAGATGATTTAATTATAGATTACAGTGTCAGTTGAATTCATATAATATTATCTTCAGTGCAGGTTTTGTCAATGAGAGCTGTATTCACTATTCATTTTCTGTTGCGTAGGATATTAAATTAAACATATTTTTGAAGTGAAGCAACGTTATTCAAATATTTGTCGTTTTATTCACATGTATTCAACGTTTTCAGACTGAATACAGTCTCATTATGAGGTATACGCCTATTTCGTGAATGACTAAACATTTTGTTACTCTACACAAAGAGTTTAATTATTTAATGTTTATGTGTATGTTCGTATTATAATTATTTATTTACTTGTTCTTGGTCCATGTATTTATAACAGAATATTATTATTGGAAATACATTTTGAATCATTTATTTCTAATAATAATAATAATAATAATAATAATAATAGTAGTAGTAGTAGTAATAGTAATAGTAATAGTAATAGTAATAGTCTGTTCTTAATACATGGACTGATAATAAACAAATAGTTTAACTACAACACACATTTCAGATGTCAATTATAGCGAAAAGCTGTAATTTGCTGCACGAGGGGAACGTGTCTGGGCGAAATGCAAACGATTTACTCCATCTTTCTGTCATTGAACAATTTTGTAATAATGTTTTAATAATCATTCTTCTCTAAGAAACATTCTGTAAAGTAATTGACATTTTTAACGGTTTTTGAGTAAACTAAATTAATGCCTACTAAGTCCAAAGACAGGTCATTTTGACAGATGGAACCTTGTTGCCAGGGAGGCTACTGAAAAGCCATATCGGCGCAGACTACTGCGGATAAAACCGAGTTATGTGTGAAATGTGCGTTTGAATCGCGCCTTAAGAATGAATGAGTTCGCTCTGTGATTGCCTTAAGCAGACATAAGGAACATACTACGTAAAATAAGTGTTACGATTTCATAATTGTCACTATCGTGTTCTCCAGGAATATTCTTCAAATATATATTCTCAATAATATGAATAATTAAAAGAAAAAATAGTTAATAAAAACCAACAAATTGTTCTTAATAAGAAAAGTAGACTTAATATCTGCGTAAATGTTAGAAAAAGAAAAAAATGGACAAAACTGGCCGATATAATAAACAGCATGGGTTTGCACTTTGTTTACAAAAAAAAGAATATAACATACTCGTATAAACTAGAAACGCAGAGAAGAAGTGAGAATATCAAAACATGTGCGAATGTAAATAATGTAATATCGTGAAGATCAGATAGAAGAAGTCAGCGAAGAAAGAATAAATGAATACGAATGAATAAAACAACTAAGAAAAAGGAAGAAGAAACATACAAGAGGGGAAACTGAAAAAATATGTAGAAAGTAGAAAATGAAGGTAAGGAAGAATTATAAAAATGGATGAGGATAAAGGATGTATAGGTTGGAAGAAGATTGAAGAAGAATGTAGATATCGTAGGGAGGAGGACAGGAGGGAGAAGGGAGAAAGAAAAAAAGACGGTAGATGAAAAAGGAAGATAAAGAAGGAAGAATATCAAGGAGAATGAAGATAAAGGATAAGATACATAAAGGAGGAGGAAGATAGAGGTCGAAGGAGATAAACAAAGAGAAAGATTAAAGAAGAACTAGTTAAGCTACTAAACACAGCACTTTACCGTATTAGTTTTATATTTCGTACGGTCTCGGTTAGCTACTCGAAGTTGCCACATGTCACACTCTTGCGTGCTGACATCTATCACCGCCCAAAGTACATTTTTTTAAAAAATGTTATTCATTTTTCGGTTTTGTAATACTAGAATATAAACATTACTTTAAGAATATTAAAGAACAGTAAAACCTTGTCCTAAAGGGCAATTTTCTTTTAAAAAATTGAAGCCACTTTTAAATAAAATAGTCCTTTAGCGATACAGTAAATTCGAAATTTAAAAGTACTTTTCACAGAAAACAATTGAGTTTACGAAAAACTTCATTTAAAGAAATTTAAAGCATATTAACTCACAAATACAATAGTGTTTACAAATTGTTGGAAATGTGAATATTAAAGGCGTGAGAGATCTTTCAAAAAAAACATTTGTGTAATTATATCTGTGTAATATTTGAAAAAAATACCCAGAAATGAACTTTACCTCTTATCAAAGAGTGCAATTAGCACTATTCTTTTGAAAAGTTTGAAGAAAAAATTTGGAACCGTTTTTGAGAAAATGTTTTATCTAGTTTTCTCAGAAAAGGGTTGAGTTTTCGAGAAACTTTATCTGACATTATTTAAAGCACATGTACTCATAAATATAATAATGTGAACAAAATACCGCTAGTGTAAATATTAACGTCAGAGACAAGTCAAAAAATTACATTTTTGTAAAAAATTATTTCGTTGAAAAAACAAAAGAATAGAGCGATATGGCGTTTAAGTTATCTTATAAAGTGCATTAAGCACAATCTCTACTAAACGTTTAAAAAAAGTTGGAGCCCTATCGCAAAAATCGTGTTTTTGTAAGTTTTTAAAATTGCCAAAATTTCACGCAATATAGCGCGTAAACTACTAAAATTTTCAAAAATGTCTATGATATTAACGAAAGAAATTATGGACAACAAATTTTATTTGAAGGAAAAAATCTCTATCTTTAATTTTGTAGTTGTAGGAAGACACCGAAAAAATTCAAACTTTTGAAATTTTCGAAAATTCATAGTTAATCGTGAAAATCGGACCTATGCCACCTTTATAAATGTATATTTTTCTATTCTTACAAGAAATTTAAAGTAAAAATTTGGAACAAATTTTGAGAAAATTTTGAAAATGTCTCAGGGCCTTCATATAAGTACAACCAAAAACTAATGAATGATTTTCAAAATTGCAGTTTCAACTCAGGCCAAATGGATAGGGGTTTCTTCAATTTAGAAAAAATCCTACGCATGGTTTAGGCGCTAGTGTTGTTCACATACACCAGACAGACGGGCGAATGGTCAGACGGATGGACAGAAGGATGGACAAACGGACGGACAAACGGATAAACAGACGGATTGACAGACGGATGGACAGACGAATGGACAGACAGATGGACAGACGGATGACAGACCGGATGGACAGACGGATGGACATGGACGGATGGATGGATCGGACGGATGGATGGACGGAACAGAGGTTTTGAAAAAAACACTTCATCGATATCAAAGGACCCGAAAACGTGTATTCCCGTTTGAAATCTCGTAATCAATTTCCGCAGCATTACTTAACTTTCCCTACATCAACGTATATTACTACGTATATACGTTCGTATTCGGAATAGTAAAATGAAGTGAGGAGATTATGATGGAGGTCAGGAAAAAAATCCAGGGTGCAAGAAGAGGAGAAAGAAGAAGACGAAGAAGAATAGAGAAAGAAAAGAAAAGAAGAAGAATAGGAGGACAAGAAGCAGAAGCGCTCGCCACTTGCCCGCACCTCGAGCCAGACGTGTGCAGCGCGTCGGAGACCCTCAGCGTCTGGGTTGGAGGCGCGTGAGGTCGAGGTCGACGTCAGCAAAGGCGCCGGGGGGCGCGGGCGCGGCCGAACGCCGAACGCGCCCTGAGCCCCACCGCCAACGGGTTGAGCGCAGCACCGTCGCCCTCCGACATCTGCATCTCCACGGCCGGCGCCGGGGACGCGCCGCCCGTCGGCGTCGTCTCCGCGGCTGGCGCGGGGGTGGGCGACGGTTGGACGACCGGGGAGACGTACGGAGGCAGAGTTGTGGTTGAGGGATTCGATGGAGCGTTTGGTAGCTGAGGGGAGGGAGGCCGAGCCGGGTCCGCAGAGGGAACGTACGGCGGCAAGGGAGCGGGAGGGGGGACGGACGGACTGTTTGGCGCGGGTGGGGAAGGTGGGGAGGGAGGGGAATTGGGTTGGGAAACGTCTGATGTGAATGGGGCGGGTCCTGAAGAAGGTGCAGATCCCGTGGAAGACGAAGCTGACGTCAGTTCCGGGGTGGTGTTTTGAGATTCCGCAGATGGCGTTGCCGGTGCGTCCACAGCTCTGGCTCTTGGCTCGCTTCTGGCGATGAGGATGTGGTTGGTTGATTCCTGTGAAGAATAAGTAAAACCATGAGCACAGCAATTTCATAAGAGACGTTCATTCACATATATTTTATACGAAATTCTGTTGACAAATCGTTGACCAGACACTTATTTCCATAAATAGTTTACTTTCTTTACTTTCAATGCCAAGCAAGAAGCAACAATAACCATTTTGTATATTAGAAATATTTCTTTATAATTCAGCAAAGTTTTTATTTGTGAACAATTTTACTAAGAAATACAATTTACAATAACAAATGATTATTGATTAATTCTCATAATTAAAATTTTCACATTAATTAAAAATACTAGCTGTCTCTACGCCAAAACAACCCGCAGAACTCCAATTGACAAACTCACGCTCACATGCACTTGCACCATGAAACATACCGAAGAAATAAGATTACACGAGTATTCTACATTCAAACCGAACAACGTGCGTTTCACCATGCATATAAGAGCGGAGAAGGTAAGGAAAATCTACGCCGAGGCTGAAATGTAAAAGTGAAGGGGAGGAAGCAGAATTCCCAAACAGAAGGAAATGGCACGGGGAGTCTTATATATAATGACAGTACAAGGAAGAAGGTAAGAATAATGTATAAGGAAACATTTCTCTTTAAAGTTTCCTGGAGTTTGAATAGTTATTTTCCCATAATTTTATCCTCGACGCCAGTGGTGATTATCACTTTGGCCAATAAGGTCCACCAACTGTTTTTCGAAGAATAATTTTCTTTTCGCAAAAATTTGCATTTGTCTACAAATAAAATATATTCGTTTATAATGGTTTCATGTAAAATTTCTTCGAATATGAATAAATTAATTCTCAATCATCAATACATTTATTTATATTAAAATTGTACCTGAATACGTTTCTGGATTCGTTTTGATTAATTGTTTATGAACTAAATTAAAAAGTTAAATATTCAAAAATCTTTTGATATGAAGTCTTGTAAGTCGTTACTAAAATCTGCAAGTAAATAACAGAATTCGTAATACAAATTCTTAGATTTCAGTTCTTAATGTACTCTACATGTTTTATTCAATATACAAATAATTTCATAAATTTGTTACCTGGAATTTCGTACTTAAAATTAGTTTCGGCACTAGACGCATCGAGAGAAAAAAATTTAAGAAATATTAGCCAGAAGTCTAATACGCGTTTTATTTAATTTGTTGAAATCGAGAATGTAGAAACTCATTATAACGTTATTCACTTACTTGAATCTTCGAAACAATATTTGCAATTTCACTCTCTTATTGCACATTTGGTTCAACCCAATTAAAGTTGATGGTAGGGAATATCAATGTTGTACCGTGACAACAAAGCAGGCTTTTCTAAATATAGTGGCGGCAAAAGTAGATCAAATATAACAGAAGAAACTAACCAAACATCACCATTGTGAAGCCAAAGCTCTATTCAGACTATTGCACTTTGTGCTTTAGAAGAATATCAAATTTAAATAATTGAAGAGAAAATATCGGAACGAAATGCAAAAAGAGTACAGTTCTTACTTACTGTGTGAATGTGCAGATCAGAGATTTTGCGACAGCAATTCTAGAAGACACTACAGGCAACCACTACTTTGGCAACGACTTCATTCACTTACTTGCTCCTCTTCTCGACCTTTCAGCGATCCGGTGTGGACGGACGCCGAAGATTTGATGAAGATATTTGCGAACAATTTAGTGGGAACACCCGGTGACGCGGAGTCGCTAACGGACACATCCGCCGTCGCTGTGCAGTTCCCTCTATCGTTCGCGTCCAGCGCAGGGCGGATTTTTCTAAGATTCGACACTGAAGGTAAAATGGGGTCCTTTAGCACACCAGTAGAAAGGAGACTGGTATCATACGGGAAGTTTACTTGGGTTCCCAACACCATTTTACGGACAAGGGCTTCTTGAGTGTCTTTTGCATTGAACATAATCTTTGATGGTTTTTCGTTGGATGACTTTCGATTGGTGGTGGAAGTAGGTCTGTAAGGGTACAGGATGTGCGATTCTTGGTAAGAACCTGACGCAAGTGTATCACTCGGTGATGCTTTTGCTTGGTAATAAAAATTACTTTGTCGCTTAGAGGAACCATGTGAATCGTCCGTGTCCACGATTCTCAAAGGAACACCTACGACCACAGGCCGATTCAAGGACGTTTTCGCTGCAGGTGTTGGAGAGTGTTCTTCCACGACTATCCCTTGCACCGGATTCTGTTCGCCAGATTCATTCCCAGAGATTGGTAGCGAGACTTGGAAAGGCTGCGAGGGATCGGGCGAGACCGAGAGAGGCTGCGAGGGAGCACCATGGGCCGGGAGAGTGCGCAAGGGAGCGTGGAATCCTCGTAGAGAAAGCGAGGGCACGCGGGTGATCGGGAGAGCATGTGAGGGCACAGAAGAGTTTGGAGCAGACCGCGAGGGCTCATAGAGTGCCGCGAAAACATCTAAAGGCGATTGAGGTTCCGAAAAAGCTTGCGAGGATACGCGGGGAGTTGGAAGAGATCGGAAAGGTGTGTGAGGTTCCTTGGAGGCCTGTTCGGGCACGCCTGCCAAAGGCTGAGAGGAGGCCAGATGCTTTGGAAGAGGCTGCGAGGGCTGTCGGAGCCCTGGGAGAGCATGCGAGGGGACATCAGGTACCGAAGGCGCACTCTCGCCTCGCAGAGCCTCCGCGGACGGCAGCAGGCTCGGGAGAGACTGTGAGGGCCCTTGAGATTTCGGGCCAATACTCGAAAGATCTGGGAGAGCATGCGAGGGCTGTTGCGGTTCCGGTGAAGCTTCCGCGGGCGCGTGTTGGACTGGGAGAGACGTCAAGGGATTCGGGGGAGGCTGCGAGGGCTGGCGAAGCCCTGGGAGAACCTGAGAGGTCGCCGAGGAATCGCGAGTGGGCGCGGGGGGCTGGCGAAGCCCTGGGAGAGCCGGCGAGGGCGCGCGCTGGCCCGGGAGAGGCCGCGAGGAATCGCGAGTGGGCGTGGAGGGCTGGCGGGGCCCAGCAGCGGCGGCGGCAGAGACCTGCGCGGGCGTGGAGGGTGCTGCGCCTGAGCTGCTGCGCCGCGTCCTGCGCAGGCGACGCGTCCTGCGCAGGTTGCTGAGCGGCTCCTTGAGGCTGAAGCTGCCCGCGATGTTCATGCGCGGCAGGATGAGCGTGAGGGTCTGCGGGCGCGCAGCACGCGCCGCCGCCATCATGCCGTCCAGCGAGATGGACGACGCGAACGTGCGCAGGTCCGCCTCCTTGTCTTCCGGGAGCATCACGTACATCGCCGTCTGCCCACCCTGCACACACACAACATTCATTGATGGATGTTTCCACAATCACTTAATGGATTATTCCACAATTACTTGAAAATGGGGTTGCGAGTAGCACCCAAAATGTAAAACAACTGTCATGGAATAAAAATATCCACTAAACATTCAGATTGTTTCTAAACTCGTAACACTATTCAGTTACTTTACACAAACATACACTTTTTCACAAACGACGAATACGTAGCCAGAGGAAGGACACGGAAGGTAAAGCATCTATTAAAAATCTTCTACTTTCTAATATTAGGCGAGAGTTTAAAACTCTAAAAATATAATTTGATACTACCTGCGTATGTCAATGTCGCTTACTATTTATTAGGAACTATTAATTAGGTTTTTCTAAAACAACAAATTCAGATTTTGTTTATGTACTTCTTGCTGCTTTTTATACATATATTTAACCTCTATGCACATGAGAGCGTAGGCTTTCGCGGCCGGGGTCAGTATTTTCTTGGCTGTCCGGGTGACGCCGCGTCGATGGCGAAGGTGCCGACCATTCTGCGACCTTCCTCAGGGCGTAATGCCTACGTCACCCGGATAGCCAATTAAATACTTCTATGCACATGTTTGTACAGCTTTTAATTTTTTTGTATTTTTTTCATTTTACTTTGAAAGGCTGTCTAACATCTATCACTTGGAGGAAAGTGTGACAATTGTGAAAAAACCGAATACTAGTTTTTGATTTTTATCATTCTCCAAATAACAAACTTCAACATTACTGACCAATCCATAATTATATAAGAAGCAGGATAAGAGTTAAATATTCTAATTAATTTCTAGCGACATGTCACAGGATATTAGAAGTGCAAATATTTAATTTTCATAATGAAGAACAAGACAGCCAAAAACAACTAAGACTTAAGTGCAATACCATCTGCTGACTAAGGTAGAATTTACTATTGCTGGTAGAAAAGCGGGTACAACAAATGATGGAAAAATCAGAACACTCGTATATTAGTGAATGTGTTTTGCTTGAATCGTGGCTGACCGGAAGCGATTGTGTTCAACTGTTCGGAAGCAGAGTTGTCCGTCAACGTTTTGCTAGTCGCCTCGCTACCTTCGTCAGTACCAATGGAGGGTGACAAGCCCATATAATCCGTGTGTAATTCACCTCACATTTAGCCCAGAAGACAGTCGCAGTGAGACGTTCAAAAACATTGGCAACTAGACAGACGGTTTTTAGATAACTCAGATTTCAATCCCTCCAACCAGGAAATACTACTTCATCAATATTTTGTATTGCCATCAAATAAATTGTTCACCTAACGGAGAAGGTTGTAGAAGCAACATATTTACAGCAGGCGCGATAAAAGTTAGCGAGCCGCTCTCCCTGAAGTATAGGTTACGCGTCGACCACGTCAGTAGAGATAAAATTATTGCTTAATATTTAGTGTTTCCGGGTGCGTGAACCGCTACGGTCATTATCCGTACATTATCCATTACGTATAGTGCATAATCAGGAGATAGCAATGCTTCTCTCTCACTAGAACGTGAGTTCCGGCGACATACATATCAGCCTAGTAGTTGGTATTTCGCCAGAGTTCATCGCCCCTTTCCGGACAAGCTTCAATCTCCCGATTGGTTTCCTGACAAATCTGGCGGTAAAGCTTAGAACTTGGCTGTGCTGTGCTCTACGGGCGCAGATACCCCACAAGGGGAAGACCGCAAGCCGAATTCATGTCGGCGTTGGATCTCACTTTCTAGAGAGGAGGAACACCGCCACCTCTCAGGATAAGACATGCATTACGCGTACGGGGCAAATGGCGCTAGACGTTCGTGCCCGGAATAATAAAAAATCAATCATTTTATTAAAATATAATAAATAATAGTTATATTAAATAATATTTAAAAATATATTAAATAAGAGTTAAAGGATTGATTATTTAGTTATATTTTAATAAAATAATAACTAAATAATCAATCATTTTATCGGCCGTGAGCTCACGTTGGGACAACGTGACTCATAACTGTAGCCATTACCAACCACCAGCCAACCAATGAACGCAAGCGTACCTTGTAGGGCAGCACGACGAGTCGGTAGCCGAGGCCGGGCGCGTCGTAGTAGGCCACCTCGGTGAAGTGGCTGCGCATGAACTTGGTGGCGACGCGGCGGCGCGCGTCCAGGCGGAACCAGCCGTTGACGGTGAGCTCGGGGTCGAAGGGCCACGCCCACGCGCCGCGGAAGTAGACGGCGCTCGCCACCAGCGCCGCCGTGGAGGGCGGCAGCGGCTGCGCCAGCACCGTGGGGATGCGGCCGCGCGTCGCCCGCCGCGCCCACTCGTTCACCTGCGCTGCCGCCTCCTCCGGACGCTCCCTGCGCCGTCACCGTCGATGGTGAACAAGGGGGAAAAAAGCGTGTTAAGCGGAGACTAATAATAAAAATTACTACAGTAAAACAATGCATTACCATCGCTATCACCATCAGAGAGAACATCTATTGCCAGGGGAATCGTGTCTGTTTAATGACTCAATGACAAAATGCATCACCATCAGCGCTATCACCGTCAGCCAGGGCCTCTATTGCAAGGTGAATCGTTTTAACCGGAGTCTAATAATAAAAAAATACTAAATGAAACAATGCATCACCATCATTGCTATCACCATCAGACAGAGCCTCTATTGCCAGGGGAATAGTGTCTGTTTAATGATTAAAATTACTCAATGACAGAATGCATCACCATCAGCGCTATCACCGTCAGGTACATATTTATTCACAACTCTATCAGACGCATCGTTATTTTAGTGTTCAGAATCCTCGTGGGAATTCAATTATCTATGAACTCTTTTGAAAATTATTGAACTCATCACCATCATACCCATTTATCATCATTAGCAGCTCAACCATGATTTTGTGTAACAAAATACGGCAATAATAGGAGGAATGAAATAAGCCGATGTCTGTTTGATAATAAAAAACTAAATGAAATATAGCATCACCATCAACCAGCTCATTGTAATTTTAACGTATAGAAAAACCTCTATTTTCATAAGAATTTAATTATAACGAGACTACAAATCATTACATAAATGAATTCATCACCCTCATCACGATTCATTATCGTCAGCCAGCTCCGCTGTTTTAGTGTAAAAGAAAACGTCCATTACCGAGAGAATCCATTGATCAGAATGAGTGATTAAGTGTTGATTCCACCTATGACATCTGTATACGTGGGTGTGCAAGTGCATAACCTTTCTGAGCTGAGTTTGTACCTAGAGTATGCATGTATACACGGGCCTGTGAGGTGTCTGTGCATGCCAATTTACCTGTGCCTACCTGCTCTGTGTTCATGTGTAAAATTGCAAATGGGCATGTATGCTGTGCATGTGAATGTGCACATCAGTGTAAATATGATGGGTCGGTAGTAGTGAGAGTGCAATTGCAAATGTGCATGTGCTTCATTTGCGGAAGGGAGTGAGCACGTTTATGTATTTATACGCTGTGCCATTGCGTGAGAGTGTTCTTGAGCGTATAAGCGTGTGATGTGTCTACGTGAGGTGTGCATCCATGAATGTCTGCCTCATTTCTTTGAGTGCGTGAGTGTGGATGTACAAATAAGCCTGTCAAGTGTCGGTACGTATGTATTTCCATATTCGGGTCTGTGCTGTACCTGTGCATGTGAATGAGCACATACAAGTACGTGTGTGTCCGCACTGTCTGGGGCATGAATGAAAATGTTCTTTTGTGATTGAGCAGTCTGCGCACACGAGTGAGCATGAGGGTCCTGCGTATGTGAGTGAGTGAGCAAGCGCGTGTGTATCTGAGCTGCCTGTGCACGTGAATGAGTCTACACGTGTTTGCCTGAGTTGTCTGCGCGCGAGAGTGAGCATACACGTGTATGCCTGAGGTGTCTGCGCATGTGAGTGAGCAAATGTATGCCTGAAGTGCCTGCGCACGTGAGTGAGCATACACGTGTTTGCCTGAGGTGTCTGCCCGCGTGAGTGAGCAAATGTATGCCTGAGGTGCCTGCGCGCGTGAGTGAGCATAATAGTGTGTGGCTGAGGTGTCTGTACGCGTGAGTAAGCATAAACGTGTTTCCTGAGGTGTCTGCGCGCGTGAGTGAGCATACACGTGTCTGCCTGAGCTGCCTGCACGCGTGAGTGAGCATACACGTGTCTGCCTGAGCTGCCTGCGCGCGTGAATGAGCATACACATGTGTGCCTGACATGTCTTCGCGCGTGAGTGAGCATACACGTGTGTGGCTGAAGTGTCTGCGCGCGTGAGTGAGCATGCACGTGTAGCTGTGCGGAGTGCGGGGCGCCTCACCGGAAGTCGAGCGAGCGCACGTCGGCCTGGTAGAGGTCGTGCAGCGCGTGCTGGAAGTCGGCGCGCAGCGGGAGGCCCCTCTGCGCGAAGAAGGCGGACGCGATGCGCAGCTCCACGCTGCTGGCCGGGGCGTCGTCCGCCGCCAGCAGGTCCAGCAGCGCCTTGAACTGCTGGTGGTACTCCAGGTCCGGGATGAGCACCTCCCCGCCCAGCGATACCTTCGGCACCGTCTTCGTCGGCCCGGGCTGAACACAATGAGAACCCGTTCACAGGAAATTGTTGTTTTTCTTTTTATTTATTTATTTATTTATTTATTTATTTATTTATTTATTTATTTATTTATTTATTTATTATTTTATTTATTTATTTATTTATTTATTTATTTTATTATTTTATTTATTTATTTATTATTTATTTATTTATTTATTATTTATTTATTTATTTATTTATTTATTTTTTAGTTATTTATTTATTTATTTATTTATTTATTTATTTATTTATTTATTTATTTATTTATTTATTTATTTATTTATTTATTATTATTTTTTATTTATTTATATTTATTTATTTAGAGTTGCATCAAACTTTTAGGCTTCATTAGCGACCACTACTATGTGTAACGGTTTGGTAACTGTGAGGATGTCACTATAATGATGAAAGGGGTGAAAGGACACACACAATACAACCATGCCCGAGGCGGACTCTTCGGTCCAAGAGAGCTAGGGCACTATTGCCTTAGCGATCTCGATGATCCGCACCGGCAGGACATTGTTTGTTTACTTTTACTGACACGTTATTTATCAATAATTTTATCGAAATTCAATTTTATCGAAAAGCAATTCTTCAAAAGGGCTTCAAATTTCGCATTTACGTCAACGCTAAACAACATTTACTTTGGTAAGGGCTCCAAATTTTTCAATCAAAAATGCCTTTTAGAACGAAATTATACCATTCTTTAATATTTTTAAAATAATACTTCAGTTCTTCTATTCCTAAAACGTAAAACGTT